TCCATTTATTTATCCCATTTTATTTTTGTCTTTACCCTATATATCCTTATCTTTAAGTTTCTCTAATTAAACAAATTGATTTGGTTATATTGATTTTGCCTAAATTATATTTATTTTAAATGTACAAATTAATTTGGTTATAAGGCAAAATACATAGTTTCGGAGGCATTTTAAAAATAATATATATATATATATATATATATATATTTATATATTTGCTTTGAGTTTTATTTTTCTTAATAAAACAAAATAAGTTTTCTGAAATTAGTTTCAGATTCCACTAATTTCTAAAGCAATATTTTTATATATATATTTTTTACCATGCACCTTTTATTAACATGAAATATATAATCCAGGAATTATTTTACAGAGACCTAAAGCTCAGTGACTTAGGTTATATTATATGATCTGTGGCATGAGCAAGATGTTTAGTTTCTCAAACCTATAAACCTAATCTATTTATTTCTTAAATAAGAAAAAATTAAAAAGACTATGTGCATTCACACAGTTCCACATAAGATTGCACTGGTCTGTAGACTAAATCAATCAATCCTGGGATATAAGAATTAGTGATGTCCCGAACGGTTTGCCGAACGGTTCACGAACGGTTCGCTACGAACGGTTCGCCACGGAGTCCAGTCAGCAGACACATTCCAGCCAATCAGCAGCAGACCCTCCCTCCCAGACCCTCCCACCTCCTGGACAGCATCCATTTTGAAGCTGCATTCTTAGTGAGCTGTCCAGGAGGTGGGAGGGTCTGGGAGGGAGGGTCTGCTGCTGATTGGCTAGAATGTGTCTGCTGACTGGAGTCCGTGGCGAACCGTTCGTGGCGAACCGCGTCGAACCGTTCGGGACATCACTAATAAGAATCTGTTCACTAAACAGTGACTGTAAGTAAGTTTAAAATTGGGGTTCATCAAAAGCTCTATTTGAGAGTGAAACGCGTATTGGCCATTTTTAAAGGACTTTTATTTGAGGACTTTTATCATCTTTGTTTTTATGTTTATTTTAAACTAATAAATTCACCATTTCCATCCAATACCTCATCCAAGTTCTTTTTGGAGCCTCCAAGGAATCCTCACAGGGGTAGTGCCATCCCCATTCAAATTGGCACAAAATCCACATACCTAGAGCCGGGATTCGTAGGCTCAGGACCAGGTGAGCACCTCATTTATTGAACACATATCTGTGTCATTTATCACCATAAGTCTACACATTGGTTTGCCTTCTTCTCTTTTTTTCGTGTTCCCGAGAAATTCTTCAAGCCGAAGTAGGAGGGTGGTGCTACCATAACAGAACACAAGCCTTTATACGGAGCCAGTGTTTTCTATATACAGGCTCCTTGAAATGTGAGTGTAATATTCAACACGATATTATTATAATCACTGTGAAGCCATTTTTTAGTACCGTCTACACTATATTGTATTTTCTGCATTTTATTTTGACATGTACCCCATATTTTACCATTGAATGAGACTACGTTTTGGTAAGATTTATCTGTGTTTGAGCGCTCCACTTATAGGTGTAGGTCCCTGTCACTTACACCGCACCAATATCTACTAAATTTATTCAGTGGAATAGAGGATATTTCCACACTAGTGTATTGAGCTGCCTGTAAATCACTTTTTGACTCTTTTGAGCACTTTTGTTATACACACTCCTCTGTAAAAAGAGGCAACCTTTGATTGGTACTATAGGGCCATTCATCAGGACAATAAAAAGATAATACATACTATATATATATATATATATATACGTCCTATGAATGGCCCTATAACGTTATATATATATATATATATATATATATATATATATATATATCTTCATAAGAGCAGCTTTCCGGGGATGAATCAGCAGTTTATTGAAATAGCTTGTCGATGACCATCGGGACCTTCCTCAGGGTCAGAGAACGTTGTTCTGTTGTCTCTGACCCTGAGGAAGGTCCCGATCGGGGACCGAAACGTTGGTCATCATTTTTAAATATTTTCAATAAAACCTTTGATTTTAGGTCCGGAGAGCAGCCTTTTCTTGTGGAAGTTATACCTATTGGAGCTTTGGTGGTGCGCCCGGCATTTGGAATACTTCAAGCGTGAGTGCAGGGGATGTTGATATTCTTTTTATATATATATATATATATATATATATATATATATGTATGTATGGGGCTGGCATACATTTTTTTTCCAGGGCTGCTTTGTATCCCCAGTCCGGCCCTGGTGGCTGTAGCCCAGAAGAAGCCAGGGAGACTGTCAATCCATTCTTAAATGGTTTGACTTCATACTCTGCGAGAGCAGCAGTTCACTTTAGCAGACTGTAGACACATTTTACCTTTTATTCATTTTCATAGTTATCTGTGAATAGTTGTCTTTAGGTTAATATTTTGCACTATGATTGACATAAGTAATTGTTACAGAAATATTCTGGGTATTAAGTGCAAAATATACATTCTACCCATATTACATCACATGTCTGTGATAACATCAAACTTGTTGATTGATGGACACATTCCATCCAGTTGATTCTTTAATGTGAATTTTCTGTTCAATGATTCTTATCTTACTGCCTAAAAAGAAATATTTCATCTCGATATTTTTACATAATTCATCTAATAGCATGTTATTTTTGTCTGAAAAAAGAATTACAGTAAACCAAAATGTGCACATGAACAATGTCAAGTTTGTAGTCTCAGAATTAGTGGTATGTTACAGCGACATGCGGATAGCACAAGTCATCTATTTATTTAAAGAATGGTAGGAATGTGTTAATGATTTTGTCCTACCAAAGGAATTACGTAGAATAGATCACCAATGGCTACCAATGAAAATATAATTTAACGGGGCTTGACAAATTTGCTTTCAATCAAGGAGCCAGCTAAAAAGTTAGGAGCCATTTTTTAAATTATGCAATCTCCAAGTCTGGCAATACTTCAAAATGTGTTTGGTGTATATGTTAGGTAAAGTGCGGAAAACTCTTGATTCCGCACATTAACGGAGCAAATCAGTTAATCTGCAGATTAACTAGTTAATGTGCAGATTAACTGATTTCTCACTTTAACTGTAACATATACACCCAGAGGTAGGAACTAAGAGACACTGCACATCATATAAACAAACACACTTGAAAAATCCTGGGAATCTTTTTTTTTTTTTTTTTTTTTTAAGAAAGATCTTTGGAACTTTCTAAGCATTTTCACTCACACTGATCAAATGTGTTATACCTTTTTGTTTTCATGTATTCCTCCTTTTAATGAAATATCAATAAAAGTTAGTGTTAATGATGTCTGACATACCCACCTTCAAAGTCAAAATAACATCTAGCTAACTGGTGCAGCAATTGTTGCCTTGAATATAGTGTCAAAAGATATCAATTGTGATGCAAATGCAAAAAACTAAATAAATATTAATAATTTGTAGGGCAAGGATATAGGTATTCTTCTCGGCTATAGTAACTTATAAAAGGCATTCTAAGCACCATTATTATTATAATATGTATATATTTATATAGCGCCAACTAATTTCGCAGCGCTTTACAATATTAATAACCAC